TCTGCTTTGCAGGACAGACAGACAAGCACACCGAGAATGAAAAAGATAATTTCTAAGAGCGTCCACGAAGGGTTTTGAATAGGAAAGTAGAGGATTTTGCTAGAGTGGGGGTGGACGGGCCCCACTTTAAATAGCAGTCAGACAAGTTCTCCAGGAGTGACGTGGCGACCGAGACCCAGTGCAGAAGGAGGCGGTGAGGGAAAGATCTGGAGGAGCCGGCCAGGTTGGGGTACGGACCAGCCCCGCCCCTTCTCTTAGTCCCGCCCCTTCGAGCCCGGGCCCCGCGTCCCGCGCAGGCCGGCCCCCTGGGACCCACGTGGGGGTGGGGAGCGTGTTTCTCCCCGCCCCCTCCGCGGGGTTCCAGGTGGGGGCGGGCGGCTCCCGGGACTGTCGGGCCTGCACAGGGGTGGCGGCTGCGGCTGTGACGTCCCAGAGGAAGGCGCTTCCTCCAGACTGCCCCCGTGGGTTTCCCGGAAAGGAGCCGCGGCGGGCGGCGGGGTTTGCGGGGGAGATGCGGGAAGGCGCCACGGCCTCGGGGCGCGGAGGGCGAAGCCCTCAGGTGGTTTCCCAGGTGGGAGGCGAGGTGGGGCCCTTCCATCCTGATGCCCGGAGACGAGGAAAGGGGGCCACGCTGGTTAATAAAGGCTCATCCCAACAGTCTTGAAAGCTGTGGCTGCCGCAGCTAGCATTTATTGAGCGCTTACCGTATACCGGGACTATTCTACTTGCTCGGCCTGCCTCAAAGCATTTATTAATAGTTTCAACCTAGGCACCCCCCTACAAGGGTGGTAGGTGCCATTTCCATCATCCCCATTTTCCAGATGTGGAAACTGAGGCACCGGACAGCTGAGCCATCTGTTTGCCCAAGTGAACCCAGCCGCGGAGTGGTCGAGGTGGGATTTGAACCCGGAGCCCTGGGGCTCTATCCTGTCTGCCTCGCTTCAGCCACTATCTCTGGCCCTGAGGATATTTCCCTGCGGTGGAAGTTGCTCACCCATTTTACAGATGAGCAAAGCGAGGCGAAGAGAGCCAGAGATGCCTGGGGGTGAAGTTTTGGTGCTTGGTGGACGGCAAAGCAGGGGATTTCCAGGCTGGGCTCCCCCCAACTCCCCGCCAACATGGAAAAGGCCCCCGGCTCGGGAGGGGCAGAGTCTTTCCGCCTGAACCCCGACCCTGCCTAGTTTGGGCTCAGTAGGAGGGTAGGGGCCTGTCCAGTGACGCGGTCTAGCGCCTCCTAGTGGCCACGAGAATTATCAAAGAAACCCCAAGGCCGGCAGGTGTCAACGGAGGGGGAGGGGCTACTTACCGCCCAGCGGGGTGCAAAGGGGGCGGGGAAGAGACCTCGTAGTGAAGATGACGTCAGCTAATAATGATAACGCACGGGCTACGAAGACAGTAAATGTTTGTTGCATGAATGAATGAATGAATGAATGGCACTATCACAATCTATAAGGAGAGGGGCAATAGTGGCTTGGGTTTGCCGGGTGGCCTCGGCGGGAACGTTAAAGACGTGGATTTGGGATGACAGAGGTGGGGAACCAATAGAGCTTTCCATCTTTTTTTAAAAAAATTATTATTATTCATTCAACAACTATTTATGTGTATGTGTCCGGTGCTGGGTGGGGGAGGGGCTAGCAGGGAACAAAAGAGACACAAATCCCTAAGGAGACAATAAAGAAATAAGTGTAATAAAGGTCTGGTTGGTTGGAGGATGATGGAGGCTTAGCGTGGGGAGGTGGGGAGGACGGGATGGGACGGGACGGGGGGGGGGAAGGCTGTGATTTGAAACGGGGAGGGCCTCATGAGAAGGCGACATTGGAGGAAAGACGTGAGGGAGGTGAGGGAGTTAGCCATGGAGTTGCTCCAGACGGCGGACACAGCCCGTGCAAAGGCCCTGGGGCAGGACCACGGCCTGCTGCGCTGGAGGCACGTGGCGGAGGCCCCTGTGGCTGGAGCACAGAGAATGGAGGCGAGAGAGGGAGGAGGGGAGGGCAGGGGAGGGATGGGGGCAGATTGTCCAGGACCTGTTGGGCTGCAGGGAGGACTTGTGCTTTTACACTGAGGAAGGTGGGAGCCATGGAGGGCTGTAGGCAGCGGAGGGCTTGGGGCCCCGGACTCAGGTGCTCCCCGGCGCCCTCTGGCCGGTGCAGGGAGAACAGACGGTGGGGGGCCGGGCGCGGGCTGGAGTCAGGGGACCCGGCCGAGGCGACTGCGCCGGTCTAGGCGGCGGTCGCGGGGCTCGAGCAGGGAGGGCGGAGGCAGAGGCGAGGGTGCCAAGTGGGCGGATTCCGGGCGCGTTGCGGAGGCGGCCCGGCTCACCGCGCCGGTGGGCTGGACGCGGGGCAAGGCGGCCGGCCTCCCAGCGGAGCGAGCCTCACTGCCCCGCGCCCAGGTCTGAGCGCAGCGGGCGCGGGGACGGCGGCCAGCCCGGGCGCGGGCGCGGAGGGCGCGGGTGCGGCTGGGCTGCAGGTGCTCCCCCGCGGCTCCTCCTCCGCCCCCTCCCGGGCGACAGTTACAGGCAGAGAAGAGGAAGTGGTAGCACTAGCTGTCGCTCCGGGCGCGCGGGCGGTGGGCGGCGGAGGCCTCGAGGGCGCACGGCCGGGCGGCGGGCAGCAGGCATGGAGCTGTGGCGCCAGTGCACCCACTGGCTCATCCAGTGCCGCGTGCTGCCGCCCAGCCACCGCGTGACCTGGGAGGGGGCCCAGGTGTGCGAGCTGGCGCAGGCCCTGCGAGATGGGGTCCTCCTGTGCCAGCTGCTCAACAACCTGCTGCCCCACGCCATCAACCTTCGGGAGGTCAACCTGCGGCCCCAGATGTCTCAGGTGAGCCCAAGACGTGCCCGGGGGCGCAGGCGGGGGCCGCCCCCGGCCGACCCAGGGGGGCTCGCCCGTGCACTCCACCTCCAGGCCCGCGAAGTAGCGGGACTGGGTGGGGGGGAGGCGAGGGGGTGTGCTTTCAGGTCTAGGGCTGGCTCAGGGCTGGTCCTAACACTTGGAGATTCTGGGGTGGCCCCCCCAAAAGTTAACAAGCCCCCTGAGCGGGTCGATGGGCTGAGCTGTCCTGCATCTAAGGCTGTGGACTTGCAAACCAGGGGTTAACTCCCCCAAGCCCCAGGCCGACCTTACTGGGTGGGGTTCAAGCCCTCATAGGTACGGGGCCATCTCATCTGGGGGACGGGCGTTCAATCTTGGGGGTGCCTCGGAACCCCCTGGGTGGCCAACAGGCTGCCTGAGGGTTTGGAACCCTTTCTCCTCCCACACAGCCCCCCAGATTCTGGCTGTGGGGGAGGGGCCTCCCCGACTTGTTCCCCACATGTGTCTCCTCCTCCGGGCCCTGGGCCCCTTCCTTCCCCTCGCATCTTCCTTCCTCTTGGCTTCCTGCCTGGGCCCGGGGCGCGCGGGGCGGGCGGGCAGGGGGCTCTGGGCTCCCCCTCCGCGCCCGTCCCAGGTGGGCGCCGCTGCGGAAGGGCCCGTGTTGGGCTGGGAGCCCCGTCCCCGGCTTTTGCAGTCTGGAAGAGCCGCCTTTTCTCCGCGGGGGTCTCTGCAGGGGCCCGGGTCCCCGGGGCTGAGGGCGACGTGGATTTTCAGTGTGGCCCTCCCACCCCCGCTCACCCCCGCCGGCCCAGGAAATAGATTCAAATCCCTATTTGAATGCGGTCGGGGCGGGGTGGTTATGGGGACTGGATCCTGTCTCTGTAGCACCTTGTCTGGGTCCCCAAGGCAGGGGACGGCAGGGTGGGAACAGGGGACAGAGCAGGGTGGGCCCAGCCCCGCCTGCCCTGGGCCGAGGGGGACACGGCCCTGCCCGAGGCTCTGAGGCGACAGCTGCCTTCTGGCCGCCCCTCCAGGACGAAGGTCCTGTCCTGAGGACCCGTGGTTTGGGGAGGGCCTCCTTGGGACGGCAGGTGGGAGAGGCTGGCCGCCTCCCTGTTCTGGGGCGTCAGCCGGGAGAAAGAGAAGTAACTGCTCCTGGGGGTCCCTGGGGGGTTTCCGGGGCCACCAGTGGAAGAGGTGGGTGGCCTTCGGTCCTCCGGCTTCCTTAGTGCCAGGGGCTTACCCCTCCTCAGCCCGGGCAGGGCTCCCCCAAAGGAGGAGGGAGCCCCCAAACCCAACCCCCCCAACCCCCCCCCACACCCAGCGGCCAGCCCCCCCGGCCACAGGCTGTCCCACATTTGTCCACAGGTGTTTGAGCTCCTTCTGGCAGCCAGGGCATGAGGACGAGGCCAGGGGGCCTGCCAGACCCCAGACCTAGTGGGGACTCAGGGTCCCCTGTGACAATTCAACAGCAGCTAACGGAGAGTGGAGGGACTTCAGGACGCATGTCCACTCTCGGGTGTGTCTGAGCTATGGCCGGTTTTCTGTCGATGGGCGAGGGTGCGTGGCACTGGTCTCTAGGGGAGCAGGTGTACTCCCATAGGGATACCCCTAATTCTCTGTACCAGGCAATGCCGGGAACCCAGGCCTGGCCCTCCAAATGCTCCCAGACTCGGGGAGACCCTGTGTGTTCTGGGCTGGCAGACCTGGGGTGAGAGCAGGACATTGCCTGGTGGAATTGGGCTTTATGCAAGAGGGGACATTTGTGCTAGGGTTTTGAAGAGTAAGTAGGAGTTTTCTCAATTGTTCTGGCTTCTGGTTTCCCGTGCTCAGCTATGTCAGGCCCCAGGCGGGACAGGGGTATACCCTGACCCTCCCCTCCTGGGAGGGGCCTCATTCTTGCCCCTGCCCATTTTGTCTCCTTGTGAAGCTCGGCCCGGTATGGGGTACGTGGTGGGTATGCGTGTAGGAAGCTGAAGGGCACTGGCGGTATGCTAGAGGAAGGTGCCACAGGAACAACCTCTTTGGGTGTCCGGGTGCCTGTCTGTCAACAGATTTAAGATGGGTCCATGAATGGCCTACGTGAAAAGGCAGAGAGAGGAAAGGAAAGGTGCTCCTCAGGGGGCAATGGCAAAGTAAAGGTGTGGGGGCTGGAACTAGAGTTCTGCCAAGCTACTCTCATTTCTTTCCAGAGTTCCTCACTTGTTTTCAGGGAAGAGGGTAGAAAGAACATATTCATCCGTCCATTCACCCACCATCTGTCATCAGTTCATCCACCCACCCACCCACCATCCATCCATCCATCTATCCTTTCATCCATCCATCCATCCATCCATCCATCCATCCATCCATCCATCTATCCTTTCATCCATCCATCCATCTACCCATCCACCCATCTATCCACTTATCCATCCATCCATCCATCCATCCATCCATCCATCCATCCTTTCATCCATCCATCCATCCATCCATCCATCCATCCACTTATCCATCCATCCATCTATCCTTTCATCCATCCATCCATCTATCCTTTCATCCATCCATCTATCCACTTATCCATCCATCCATCCACTTATTCATCCATCCATCCATCTTTCCATCATCTATCCTTTCATCCATCCATCCATCCATCTGTCCACACATCTATCCATCTATCCACTTATCCATCCATCCATCCTTTCATCCATCCATCCATCCATCCATCCATCCATCCATCCATCCATCCACCCATCTATCCATCCGTCCATCCATCCATCCATCCATCCATCCATCCATCCACCCATCCATCCATCCATCCATCCACCCACCCACCCACTTATCCATTCATCTATCCACTTATTCATCCACCCATCCAGTGATCCAACAATGACAACACGAGCTAGGCCCTGTTCTTGGAGCTGGGAACAGTAGGAATAAGACACATGCAAACCCTGTTACTGAGGAGGCTGCATTCTCGCGGTGGAGGCCGACAGTGAGCAAATACAGGAACGTACACATAGTCGGGAGGTGGTACCTGCCGCTGTGGAGGACTCCAAGCAGGAAAGGAGGCTTGGGAGTGTCCAGGGGCACCTTTGAATAGGGGGGTACAGGAGGCCTCACTGATAAGGTCACATTGCATCAGTTCCTGGGGACAGTGCAGGAAGGAACCCTGTGGATTTGGAGAAATGGTGTCCCAGGCGGTGGGGACTGCCAGTGCAAAGGCCCTGCGGTCGGTGTCTGTATATTCAGGGCTGTGACTGGCCCGGCTGGTGGGAGTGATGAGGGCAGGTCAGATTGGAGTGAGTCTCAAGCCGGCGGGTCCCCCCTGAGATCTGAGGCCCAGAGAGATCAGGATACCATCATGAACAGCTGCAGCTACAACCCTCCTTGAAGTTGAAGTCTAGAATCTGCTGCAGAGCTGGAACTTGAAGGCCAAGGGAGTGGAGAAGAAGGGAAGGGTTGTGGTGAAAATCCACAGGATGTGGGGCTGATGAGACTCAGGGTAGGGGCAAGTGCTGGGGCCCCAGTGAAGTTAAGGTCCCCAGTCCCCACCACCTGGGACACCATTTCTCCAAATCCACAGGGCTCCTTCCTGCACTGTCCCCAGGTATTGATCCAAAACACCTTATCAGTGAGGCCTCCTGGTACCCTATCACAAGGAGTGCCCCCGTACACAGTAGTGCCACTGGGGGACAGGGAGCAGAGGACCCAGGACAGTGCCAGGCATTTGTTATGACGAGGTTTACTGCAATCAATACCTCGTGCATGCATCTTTTTATTTTTATTTTTTGAGCCGGAGTCTCGCTTTGTTGCCCAGGCTAGAAGTGAGTGCCGTGCGTCAGCCCCGCTCACCAGCAACCTCAAACTCCTGGGCTCAAGCCACCTCCTGCCTCAGCCTCCTGAGTAGCTGGGACTACAGGCATGCGCCACCATGCCCGGCTGATTTTTTTCTATATATATTAGTTGGCCAATTAATTTCTTCTATTTATAGTAGGAGACGGCTCTCGCTCTTGCTCAGGCCTGGTTTCGAACTCCTGACCTTGGATCGATCTCCTCTCGGCCTCCCAGAGTGCTAGGTTACAGGCGTGAGCCACCGCGCCCGGCCTCGTGCATGGATCTTAAATGTCCTTAGCCCACCCCTCACCCCTCCGTACACACAAAAGGTAACTCTGTGAGATGATAGATTAATTTGTCGATTAATTTGATTGTGGTCATGATCACACAACGTAAGCGTATGTGTACATCAAACCATCTTGTTGCATGCCTTGAATGGGTACAATTTTTATTTGTCCATTGTATCTCAATAAACAAATATTTCTTGGCCAGGTGCAGTGGCTCACGCCTGTAATCCTAGCACTCTGGAAGGCCTAGGCAGGCAGATCGCTCAAGGTCAGGAGTTTGAAACCAGCCTGAGCGAGACCCCGTCTCTACTAAAACAATAGAAAGAAATGAATTGGCCAACTAAAAATATATAGAAAAAAATTAGCTGGGTGTGGTGGCGCGTGCCTGTAGTCCCAGCTACTCGGGAGGATTGCTCGAGCCCAGGAGTTTGAGGTTGCTGTGATTTAAGCTGACGCCATAGCACTCTAGCCTGGGCAACACAGTGAGACTCTGTGTCAATAAATAAATAAATTAATAAATAAAATAAACATAGAAAATGTAAACTAAAAATACTGTATTATATTTTTTTTTTTTTTTTGAGACAGTCTCGCTTTGTTGTCAGGCTAAGGTGAGTGCCGTGGCGTCAGCCTAGCTCACAGCAACCTTCAAACTCCTGGGCTCAAGCGATCCTCCTGCCTCAGCCTCCCGAGTAGCTGGGACTACAGGCATGCACCACGGTGCCCGGCTAATTTTTTCTCATATATCAGTTGGCCAATTAATTTCTTTCTATTTTAGTAGAGACCGGGTCTCGCTCTTGCTCAGGCTGGTTTTGAACTCCTGACCTTGAGCAATCCGCCCGCCTTGACCTCCCAGAGAGCTAGGATTACAGGCGTGAGCCACTGCGCCAGGCCTGTATTATAGTCTTATGG